ATCAAAGGCAGCAGAGAGAAGAAAATTATTTTATAATATCTGGTCCTTTTATCCCCAAGAATAAATTAAAACAAAAGCAATTTACAAAAAAACTAAAACTAAACAAACATCATGCAAAATTTATTTATTTTTATTCAGTAAATGCATTTTATTATGAACTTGGAGTGCAGAAAAGGTAAATTTAGTCTCCCCTCAGAAAAAGGGTGACAGAGGGGCTTGTGGTGTTACAAGAAGGAGGAATTCAGACCAAAGCTTTGCAGTTCCACTCTAGACCCCAACTGAGTGATTTAAATTTGAAAAGGAAGGATTTAAAAAGCATATGTCTCCTTTTAATCCCTAAATTAGCTGAATTCTGCTTCAAATATAAAAACAAAGAAAAAAGGTATTTTATCACTTGGGAGAAATAAATCTAAATTGTTGCTGTGTGGAGCAGTGATTCTAACAAGGCTCAGTTTGCAGTGAAAACAAGTTTTTTTTTTCTTTCCCAGAGAGGATGACAAAGGCCTGAACATCGGGATCCTGGATATCTTTGGCTTTGAGAACTTCAAGAAGAACTCCTTCGAACAGCTTTGCATCAACATCGCCAACGAGCAGATCCAGTTTTACTTCAACCAGCACATATTTGCTTGGGAACAGGTAGAGCCCAGCAGCTGACTTATCACTAAAAGCAGAGATTGCCTTCTGAGTGCTTTATTCCCCCCTGAGAAGCACCGTGTGTGCAGTTTTTCACCTTGGTACCTCTTCATTTCCATCTAAATTGTTATAACATGCCGTTTGTCATTATAAGAGAGATGGCGAGGGTAAAATATGCTGCTGTCTTTATTTATGACAGAACGAGGTTCACAATTCTCTCGTTGTGGAGTCTCGTGGGAGGGTTTCGCCTTGGGGGGTTCAGAGAATGGTTTGCTAATGTTAAACGATTTGGACTCACCCATGGAGAGGAGCTATAAATCATCCCAAATGAGGGTCAATTAGGACTTGGAGACACATGATGTTGGACCTAAATTCACTCTTGGGAGTTGCTGGAACCGGGCCCAGAAATACATTGTCCTATACTAACAGCACATACACTCAGAGCATATGGGAAATGTTCGGTGCCTTGAGATGAATAAGGTGGGAACTTGCTTTTGAGAGCCTTTCTCCACTTCAAAAGATCAGAAATATTGCTTTAATGTTTTATCAGGAACTGACATGAATTCACTCTTTACTTACGTTTTTTCTTTTATGTTTACAGATGTAATTTCATGTCTAAATCCATCTGCATCACTGCACACTTTTTGATATGCTTCATGTATTTAACAGCATTAGTTTGTGCTGAAATATCATGCTGTTGGCTTCCTTATTAGTCCTAATAACTTGCTGAGTCATAGCAGCTCTGAGTCAGTCTGATGTGATCAGGATAGCTGAAAGTGAGCTCACTTTACCCTTTGCAACTTTAGATTTTAAATTTGAAAAAAAAAACTTCAAGATAGGACACAAATTCTCAACTTTTCTTGTTTTGTTTGATGGAACCTCTGAACATTGAGCATAKGTGCACAAAATACTCCCTAAAACACTTAATATAAACTTTTGTTGCATTGAAGTACAGGTCAAAACAAAGTCAGAAAAATCATCATCATTGTCCAATGATGGCAAACAGTAATATACAGGCCAGTCAGACAGATGACTAGTACCATTTACTGCATTTTTATTTTTAATTTTTCTCTCTCTAACCAACCTTTTCTCTGGTAATTTATTGTTATGTTGGTAAACTTCAATTTTACTTTTTACTTTTATAAGAAAATGAGAGACAAGTAGATCTAAAAGTCCAAACCTTTATTCCATCTTAAAGGTTCTGTGCATGGAGCCAAAACTGTCGTATTAAAAGAAGAAAGAAAATTAAAAGAATCAAAATAAAGTCTGATGAATATGTATATATTTATTAGGCACATACTGCTTATATCTATACCCCATACTGTACATTGAGGCAGCTGTGGCAGAGTGGTTAGGGAAGTCGTCCTGATGTACGCAGCTACGTTGCTGGTTCAAACACCAGCTCTATCCTTCTCAGCGATTTTGTCCTTGGGCAAGACACTTCACCACTTCGCCTGCTGCCGGTGGTCAGAGGGCTCTGTGGCACCAGTGTATGGCAGCCTCGCCTCTTTCAGTCGGCTTTAGGGCAGCTGCAGCTACAACGTAACTTACTACCATCAGTGTGTGAATGTGTGTATACATGGATGGATGACTGAAGTGTGAAATGCTTTTGGAGTCCTTGGACTTTGTAAAGCACTGTACAAGTTCAGGGCATTGACCGTTTATCATTTAAAAAGACAAAACAAAATCAGCAGGAAGACAACCTCAAGTTTGGAAAGTTTGACTCAATAATCTAAGAAGCAAAAGGAAACCAAGATGAAAACAAATTAGACTAAAAAATGTATAAAAAAGGAAAAGTAAGCAAAAGATCTAGGTACACAAGTATTTTTTTTTTTATGAAACCAGAAATGTGAACATTAAAATCCAYTGAACAAACCTGGAAGAGTTTATTTACATCAACAATATTTTTTGCCAATGCTTTAGAGTTTAGAGGTCGACGAAAAACCCTTGAATATTGTCTCCTTTGCTGTCAGGATGAGTACCTGAATGAAGAGGTCGACGCTCGGATGATTGAGTACGAGGACAACCGGCCTCTTCTGGACCTGTTCCTGCAGAAACCCATGGGCCTGYTGTCACTGCTGGACGAGGAGAGTCGGTTCCCTCAGGCCACTGATCAGACACTCGTAGGTCAGTTCATCATCRTTTTCAGAAAAGAGTCACCCCGTTTTTACCAAACAATTTGGAGTTAAACTGTCTTTGGGCAAATGAATCTTTGTTTTTTATGTTACTAAAAATGCTGAACAAATTGTGATCTCCAGCAATCTTTCCTTTATGGTTAATTTCTTCCAAGTAAACTCTCATAAAAAGTAAGAAAGTGTTCAAATCAACACAAATAACTACTAAATTTGGGCATTTTTAGAGAAATTTGAAGATAATCTCAAGACAAAAACTTTCTGGAGGCCAAAGAGAGTAGACCTTGGCTTTGGGATTCACCACTACGCTGGGAAGGTAATTTTAATGACGTTATAATAAGTTTTTACCATTTTAAATTGGTCTGAATGTTCTTGTAAGCGACTCTTCTTCACATTTTTTTTCCCTATAAGGTGATTTACAACGCTGCAGGTTTTTTGGCCAAGAATCGAGAGATGCTGCCCGCAGATATCATCCTGCTGCTGAGGTCATCGGAGAACGAGCTCATTCGCAAACTCGTCACTCACCCGCTCACCAAAACAGGTTAATTCAACAGCAGCTCTGCATAAATAGCGCATTAAGTGTTGCTTCTAGAAAAGCGGAACAGGAAGTAAACAACTGATKAAACCACTTAAAACCAGCATGGACACTCTTACAACTGTTGTGGCAAATTGGTGATGTATAAATAGAAAAACAATAGTTACATTTTATCTGATCATACAGTTTCTGTCAGGTTAGATACTTCCTGTTTCATCACCTTATGGATGGATGTGTTCTCTGATCTGTTTATTTCACAGGCAACCTTGCCCACACCAAGGGTAAAGGCATAAACACAATGCAAACACCACGGACTCCCACTCGGAGTATGACTTTGGCCAAGGTACAAGACGTTTGCAACATGACTGTTATACTTTTTACTTAAGGAATTTTTTTCTGTCTCATTCCTTCTAAAACAAGTAAAAACTGCATTGATTGTAGGATGCCAAATGTAAAATAATATATTAAAAATGTCAATAAGAAAATGTTATTATTTAGCTTACTTTGAGTGTAAAATCCTAGTTAAATATTTTCCACTAGCATTTTATCATTTTAGCTTTTGTTATGACAACAGTCACTATCCCTGCAGAATATGGCTTTTAAAATTGAAATTCAAAACGTGTTTATTGAGAACAATATGAATGGTACCAGTGGTCCTGTAGTTTGAAGTGCAGCTTGGACACCGGTCGCAACTGCAAGTCTGATGTCTCGTAGCAGCGTTGGACTTGGATGATAACGTCTCAACAAAAGCACCACTCCAACAGCAAATAATGTCCGTTCTGTTATACTTAAATTTAAATGTTAATATTTAGCCACATTTACATTTAAATTTAAACATTTACATGCAGGATTTATCATTTACATATAACATTTAAATTTAATGAAATTAGTCAAATGTAAAAACAGTTTGCAAAATAACAATATAATGTTAGTCGACTTTTTGAACTAGGATTTTATACTCAAAGTGAGCGGAACAATAAAAATGCATTAGTGACATTTTTATTTTATTTATTTTTAATGTTTGGCACCCCATAATTTAACTGCTTGTGTCTCTGCTGTGCTTTCTATTTTCTCTCACTGTTTGGGCTTTCGTTCTTTCACTTTCTCATTCACTCTGTTCTCATTCTCTCTTTGTTTCTTCACATTTTCCTTGATGAAAGATGGGAGTGCTAACCTTATACAGTCCTTTTTCTCTTAGTGAGGTAATCAGCACATTTAATGCATGTATTTCGCTTTTCTACATACCCCAAAGTTAAATGGATAAATCCAGATTCAACCTGGAAATCTGTTAGTTTAGTTTCTGTAGCTTTTGTTCCTCCATGCAGTCTGAGTTGCTGATATGTTTTTAGAGATATTATGTCCTCCAAGTTCTGTTAATACTTGTTTTTTGCCCTTTTGTGGTGTATTTGTGTTTATATCTCAGTAGCTTTCCAAGTACTATGATTAAACAGCTTCTATAAAAGTAACAAAGAAAAATTCAAATATATCAGAATTTTTTGTTTTGCAATCCAAAAATGTAGTAACTAACCTGGCTCTTTTCTTTTTTTGTGAACATCCAAATAAAACTCCCCTTAGCAACTTAATTATGGTATTTACTTGTGTGATTTACTTTAGATTGCAGTCGAACACAGCTGAAGTGTTTGCTAAATGTAAGCCTCGAGGTGATTCGCTAACCTCAAAGCAATTGACAGAAGCGATCTACATAAACTGTTTGATGAGTTCTTGAATTTATTTCCATTTATTTGCATATCTTTGAAAAAGAAAAGCTCATCAAAGCTTTGCTCCTAAACTGTTTAAATAGTACAAACTGTATTAGGCTGATGTTGTTCTAAATTAATACTTTCCCCAACATTATCAGTGAGGAGAAATAGATGTTTGAATTCATAATGAGGCACAGTAAAAATTTRTTTGTTGAGATGAACATTTGTACGTTTTTGTTCATCAAATCAGTTTTACACGTTTTGTTTTTGCATACTTTGGAAATTTATGCACGCTCAGCTTTTCAAAAAGTGTAATGGGTTGCAAAAGTACTGACAACCACAATAGGTTTCGCTTAAAATATTTTCAGCATGTTGCAGCATTGATACCTTTGTTGTTCAATTTTTTTTTAGTTCTGGTTAACATTTGAGGAGTTTGAGAAGTCKTGGCATCATCTTTCAGTTTTTGGCATTTAAACAGCACAAAAAGTGAGGAAATTTGTGTTTGGTAGATTATTTCAACCCATTCTCACTCCCAAGTCGTCACATATTGACGCTTTKSCAAGGTTCCCTCTACGTCCGATTTTGACGCGCCGGGTACCCCCGTCACGTCAGTTACTGACGAGATGGGGCGAAATCTGTTGTCATATTTTCAGAAAGTGTAGAAAATGCGCAAAAGCTACTGTTTCGAAGCCTGAAATTACCTTTGTTAACTTTAGACATCCTGTCCCTGACCCTAGTACCTAAAATTAACCATTTTTAGAAAATGTAGGAAATTCACGTMAACATGTTCCAAAGCCTGAAATTACSTAATATTCACCATGGACATCCTACCCCTGATCCCAGTACCTAAACTTAACCATTAATCCATATCCCTCATGTTAACCTCAGACCCTCGACCCAAAGACCCCTGGTGGCGCAACCCGGAAAAGCCRCGGGCGTCAAGGACTGACGCGAGGGGGTTACCCGGCGCGTCAAAATAAGACGCAGAGGGAACCTTACCTTAAGCGTCAATATGTGACGACTTGGGAGTGAGAATGTGTAGATTATTTCTATATTGTAACAATGCTTCATAGCAATAAATCTTGTACTGTTGGAAATTCTGTAAAATGTTGCTTTTAAATGATGCCACATTTGTAAGGAGCATGCATTTGTGCAGTAATGTGGGTTGTGCACATAAAAATAGTAAAAATCTTCTTCGTCATTGCAAAASAGCTTATTTTGCTGTTGCTGTTGTCTTGTTTTGAACTTCCAGTTACTTGGGTTTTATGCTTTTTCTTTTTTTTTCTTGGTGGTAGTCTCTGTTACTTTAGGGTTTCATTTCTAGGGCTGTTGTAAAATGTGTCGATCATTTGGCAAATGTACATTATTTGACATTTACAAGTAGATCTAATTTACCGTAAACATTTATGTTGCTAATGGTTTAACATTAAAGCACAGAGGTTAATATGCACACATACCACCATTGCTTTATGTTATTTAATCAACTTTTTACCTTATTTAGCGTCATTATTTTAAGTGTTTAAGTCTTTATAATAGTAATAATAAATAACAAAATTACAGGTTTTAAGACAAGAAATCTTATGAATGCTTTTGCACCCTGCTGTAATAAACATAAAGTTGTACTTAATTAAATGCTGCTCCTGATGTAGCACTTGTCGATTTAACTGCTGCACAATCATCTTGGAAATTAAAGCAAACTTTATAAAAACTATATTTGCTTGATGATGTAGGATGTGGTACAGCTGTGTTAACCTGTATAAATACTAGAGTAGTGAAGCAGAGTGCAGATCAGACAGTGGATTTTAGGTTACAGTTGGTTCTTCTTTCTTAAACCATTTTGTTTTTCAGCCAGCAGAATCTGGAGACACTCCTTACCATCCCAGAGAAACGACCAACATGAAAACTCAGACGGTGGCTTCTTATTTCAGAGTGAGACTTTATTCCTCATTAACTCGGTTATTGTTTGTGAGAGCAGGTCAGGGCTCTAAATCAAGCCATTTTTCACCTTCAGGTCCAATAACATTCTGCCTTTTCATTAAAAACGTTTATACTTTGGTGAATTTTCTCTTAGYTTGTCTTCCTGTTTGATTTTTTTTTATCTTCACGAGCATTAAATAGTTAACTCAGAGTCAGAGAATAATGATAAATTATAAAATAAATGAGAAGTAAACAAGCAACATTAAAAACAATGATTCTGTATAAAACCACCATGGTTTTAGGATGCTTCTGTTGGGCTTTAACCACTCCCACTGGTGAATTATATATTTTTCATTTCGCAAACTGCAGAGATGGATTGAAAAGGCTTTTCTTAACATTTTCTCTCTCATTGTCTCTTTCATGTTTTTCCAGTACTCACTRATGGACCTGCTATCCAAAATGGTGGCGGGGCAGCCTCACTTTGTGCGCTGCATCAAGCCCAACAATGATCGCCAAGCCAACAAGTTCGATCGAGAGAAGGTTCTGGTTCAGCTGCGCTACACTGGCGTCCTGGAAACGGCCAAGATCAGACGGCAGGGTTACTCCCACCGCATTCTCTTTGCTAATTTTGTAAAGAGGTCAGAGGTTCACCGCTGTACTCACCCCATTTTATCCACAGAAGAGTTTATTTAGTTAAAAGTTAAAAAAGTTATGTACTGCATACTTTAATACTAATGTTAACATGAATACAATGAATTTTGCAGGTACTACATATTAGCGTTCAATGCTCATGAGGATCCAACTTTGACTCCAGAAACATGTGCTGCCATACTGGAGAAGGCCAACCTGGAGAACTGGGCAATGGGRAAAACTAAGGTGAACAAATACTTGAAGCAAAATGAATAAACTTTGWATCAAAGAAGAAACAAGTAATGGACTGGTCAATATTTTTGATCATTTTAGAATATCATTTTTTAAAGTGTGTTTTACGTATTAATGAAGTGCTGTGCAAAGGTTTTAAACCATCAAAATTAGCACCCATAGCTTGCTTTCTTCCATGTTGTGGTCCTCAGGTGTTCCTAAAGTATTACCACGTTGAAAATCTGAATCTGATGGTGCAGCAGGCCACACATCGAATCATCCTGCTTCAGGCGTGTGTCCGAGGCTGGCTGGGAGCCAGGAAGCCAGGAAAACACCACCGAATGAAGGCACTGAAGGCAAAAAGCCAAACACAGAGGAGGATTCGAGGAAGGCTGCTAATAAACAAGATGATGAAGAGGATGAAAGTACCTATGAGGCTGAGGAGAGTTRTGACAGCGATCATACTCAGATACCAGAAGATGAGGAGCACACAGAASTGGGAGAAGAAGCGTTGATTCAAAATGCAGGAAAAGAAGGTCAGAACAAACAGATACCAGTCGATGCAGTCGACTTAAAAGAGGAAACCAAGGCAGCCACGGTTATCCAGAGTAATTTCAGGGGTCATAAAGAGAGGAAGAGGTTGGAGGAGGAAGGCAAGATCCCAAAAAAGAAGCAGAAAGAAAGCAGCCCTGCAGGTGACAAGGAAGACGTCTTCAGCAAAGACAAGGAGTCAACAGGAGCTCAAGGTGCTGCAGATGTCTCATCAGATGACGTCAAGCTGGATGACCCAGATGAGACCAAAGCAGCTGTGGTAATTCAGAGCAACTTCCGTGGCCACAAGGAGCGCAAGCGACTCAAAGAGGAAGGGAATACTCCCAAGAAAAATAAGAAAGAACCTGTGCAGACAGAACAACCGGTGCCAGAATCACAGGAGGACATTTCCTCTGAGAGTCCAGATGGACCAGATGAGGAAAAAGCAGCCACGGTCCTGCAGAGTAATTTCAGAGGCCACCGGGACCGAAAGAAGCTGAAAGCTGAGAAAGAAGTACAACAAAGTGCCAAGGAGGAAAATGTTATTCTTGATTCAGAGCAAGAAATGAAAGATGAGGACAAGGTTTTGGATGTTTCTGATGTGGAGATTGAGCGTAAAGAGGAGACTGACGTGGAAAAAGAAAAACAGGAGGAGGAAGAGGCTGCCGTGAAGCTTCAAAGTAACTTCAGGGGTTATAAGGACAGGAAGAACCTGAAGGCCAACAAGGAAGCAGCCAAAAATGAAGCTGAGGAGCTAAAAATTTTCTCAGAAGAGGTAAGCATATTATGTCAATTTGTATGGATGATTATGTGTTTCTTGATATCAGAAAGTCTGTCATGATACGATTTCTATTCAATTCATCGATAAGATGCAATATCATATATTGATCCACATTGAGTAAATGATGACAATATACACTCACCGGCATCTTTATTAAGTACACCTGTCCAACTGCTCATTAATGCAAATGTTGAATCAACCAATCACATGGCAGAAACTCAATGCCTAATTTAGGCATGTAGACATGGTCAAGACAATCTCCTGCAGTTCAAACCGAGCATCAGAATGGGAAAGAAAGGTGATTTAAGTGACTTTGAACGTGGCATGGTTGTTGGTGCCAGACGGGCTGGTCTGAGTATTTCAGAAACTGCTGATCTACTGGGATTTTCACCCACAACCATCTCTAGGGTTTACAGAGAATGGTCCGAAAAAGAGAAAATATCCAGTGAGCGGCAGTTCTGTGGGCGCAAATGCCTTGTTGATGCCAGAGGTCAGAGGAGAATGACCAGACTTCGAGCTGATAAAACAGAAACAGGAACTCAAATAACCACTCGTTACAACCAAGGTCTGCAGAAGAGCATCTCTGAACACACAACACATCGAACCTTGAGGTGGATGGACTACAGCAGCAGAAGACCACACCTAATGCCAGTCCCGTCAGCTAAGAACAGGACACTGAGGCTACATATCACACAGGCTCACCAAAACTGGACAAGAGAAGATTGGAAAAACGTTGCCTGGTCCGATGAGTCTGGATTTCTGCTGCGACATTCGGATGGTAGGGTCAGAATTTGGTGTCACCAACATGAAAGCATGGATCCATCCTGCCTTGTATCAACGGTTCAGGCTGGTGGTGGTGGTGCAATGGTGTGGGGGATATTTTCCTGGCACACTCTGGACCCATTAGCATCAACTGAGTATTGTGTCAACACCACAGCCTTCCTGAGTATTGTTGTTGACCATGTCCATCCCTTTATGACCACAGTGTACCCATCTTCTGATGGCTACTTCCAGCAGGATAACTTGCCATGTCATAAAGCGTGAATCATCTCAGACTGGTTTCTTGAACATGACAATGAGTTCACTGTACTCAAATGGCCTCCACAGACACCAGATCTCAATCCAATAAAGAACCTTTGGGATGTGGTGGAACAGGAGATTTACATCATGGATGTGCAGCYGACAAATCTGCAGCAACTGTGTGATGCCATCATGTCAATATGGACCAGACTCTCTGAGGAATGCTTCCAGTATCTTGTTGAATCCATGCCACGAAGGATTAAGGCAGTTCTGAAGGCAAAAGGGGGTCCAACCTGGTACTAGCAAGGTGTACCTAATAAAGTGTCCGGTGAGTGTAGATCGATGTTCTTACCTGGATGTAATTGAATCAATGATTATTAGTGATACAAGTCAATAACAATGCATGTCTATGCAGTCAGATCTATAGCAGCATGTCTTATTGACTTCTTCATACATAAAAAATGTTCACAACAAAGGCAAGCTGCTGCTGCTGTGATTTTGTACCTTGACTATGCTGCCTTCACTTACTGACAGGAATTATAATTGACCGTTCACCAGTCAAGCTAAAATCAGTGGACTGTGAACCCCTAACAGCTTTAAACAAAACTAGTCACTGCATTTCCTTGACATTATTCCAGTCATACGTTCTCCAATGTCTTCAACAGATTGTAAAAACTTCTGAGGCCTTTGTGGCCCTGCAGCAGAAGCTGAACGAGATTATCCAGGCCCATCAATCAAATCCTGAAAGCAATGGCATGTTTGTGAGAGGAAAGGCAATCAATGGCTTTACCCCACAGATTCAGCCAGGTAAGATAAGTGAGATTGGATCAGTGAAAAACAGATTATTAAGCAATGGAAATAATTTATAACGCTAGCACGCATTGACCTGAGGTTAATGTGAACTTTTGTGAATTTTATTGTCTTTTTGAGGCAGCTGCTCTAAATAAATTTGGAACAAAAAAAAAGGAAATTTGTGTTTGGTTGAGTGTTGCTTTGTTGTAACAATGCTTCTTGTTTAAGATTTATTGTCAAGAAGCATTGTTACAACAAAGAAATAACTTAACAAACGCAAATTTCTATGGTGTGCTAAGTGTAAAATAAAATGTTAAAAAATGTCACTAACACATTTTCATTATTTAGCTCACTTTTTGGGTGTTAAAAATGTTCCACTAATGTTTTGTTATTTAACTCACTGTTCTTATATTGCAGATGATGAAAGACTTAATTCAAATGAATTCTGTCATCAGTTTAGCGAAATGCTAAAAAACAATGTTTCCAGGACAGTATGGATCATGCTTCCAATACGGATCAGGCAGCCACATGCATCTTCTGTGGTTGATGCTCAGCCCTTGTYATGATGTCATCATCCTGAGACAATAGCAACCACTAGTACTGAAAATGATGCAAATTAACACATTTTGAATTTAGATTTTAGATACAATCTTCAGCAGTGTTAGACGTGTTAGCAGCTGTCAGTGCTGACTAGTCAGGATGATGTCATCATCCTGCCTCAAATGTCTATGCTAGCCGCTGCTAGCCACTGCTAGCTGCTGCTAGCTGACGCTGCTGAAGATGGTTTCTAAAATCAAAATTCAAACTGTGTTCATTGAAAACAATATGGATGGTACCTGTGGTCCATAAGTTTGTAGTACTGACCAGACACTGGACACAAGTGCAAATTTGATAGGAAAGTGTTAGCAGGGTTAGCTGCATTAGCATTTGAAATTGTCTCAGGATGATGACATCACAACAAAAGCTGCAATGATGGCAAAGGCTGCATTTCAATCTGAAATACTTCAACTTCAACATTTAACTTCAATGTTTAACATTTAACTTTTTTACTTTCAGATTTACACATTTAGATTTAGGGTTTTTATATTTACATATATTTTTTAACATTTAAATTTAATGAAATTAGTCAAATGTA